TCTCAGAGAGACTGGGAATTTGAAAGGTATCACTCTTGTGAAGAGAGTTATATGCAATTTCACAGGTATCACTGGAAATTGGTGGTACACAACTCATAATGTCAATGGAAGACTTATATCTTGTTCAAAAGGAAAAGATTAGACCCAGAGTCATATTGCATATCAATATTACGGAAATCTATGAACCTGAGGGAGGTTGCATTAGGTGAGGGCCAAAAGAGGGAGAAATAGAAACAATATTGTGGTAGGGAAATACAGTATTTATTAAGCATTTCCTGTGCACCAGTAACTGTACTGAGGGCTGGGGACATAAATATAATCAAGTAAGAGAGTCCCTGGCCTCAAAAAAAGTTATATTCTAATGGGGGAAGTCCATAGATAAAAGGAAACTGGAAAGAGGTGAATTGTGGTGGTGGTGGTTTTGGTAAGGAATTAGTATGGAGGCCTGGCTTTTGGGATTTGTTTTTGTTTTTGGTAAGATAAGGCAAAAACTCACCTATACAATATAGTTTTTTGTGTTTGCATGGATGTATGTAGATATGAATAATCTCTGCCCTCAAGGAGTTTGCAATCTAATGGGTGAAAGCAATGCAAAAAAGAAAGCTGAAAAGCTTTGGGGGGTGGGTAGAGTTCTGAAGGAAGGTATCTGACTTGAGGGGACATGAAGGAAAAGTAAGAAAAGTCTTAAAATAGTGCAGCCAGGTGAGAAATGAGATGTTCTGACCTGGACTCCCTCCTTAAATGAAAGTTTGGGAGTTCCTTGCTCCTCCCTCCAATCAGAGGGACAGAGGATGGTGATGAATACCAAGGCTGCTGGAATCTTGCAGGTTTTCCCAATAATGAGTTTCCTGGAGCACGGTGGAGAAGTCAAAGGAGTCCTAAAATAGATCGGCCAGGTGAGAAATGAGGAGCGTACACAAGTAGATGTGTGCAAATACAAAGAGTGAAAGAATTGTGACTTGCGAAGAGCTCACAGCAATTTGGACTCTGATAACATAACCCTGCCTTCCTCCTCCCGCTCCCTGAGATCATACTGACCCCAGTGCATTCCTGCCATTCTTCAGTCTCACAGGTACAAGATCAGATTGGCTGATGTGTGTTTGTGGAATAAAGAGCTTTAACAATTTGGCCGAGGAAGAAGGGAAAGATGAAACGCGATGACCAAAGTACCTCAAATACTGCCAAGATGTTTCCAGAAGGAGAGGTGCCAGTGAATAGCCTGACCGGGAGAGGTTGGGGGCCTCCCATACCCCATACTGACTGCCATATACAAGAGTCTTAAGATGAAGAATCCAGAGTGGAGGCTCAATTAGGCAAAGCATGAACTTCAATTTAGCAAATATTCAAGGCCCATGGGACCCCAACAAGGGGCTCTGGCTCACATGGAGTTGGGCTCATGCTGGGGAGGTCTGACCCCAAAAAAGTCATTTTTACCCTCTGGTTCTATCCCTACATTGGAGTAATTCCAAATAAATTTCTAAAATAAAGCTTAGGTATGGCTCATGTCTAGAATCTCCCCAAAATGTGGGTAACAGGCAGTAGTGTGCTTGCAAATGTTTAACAATAAGCTCTATGGGGCAGGTGGGGATGTATGTACCACAGCCTTCATTAACATTTTCTCTATCACTTTCTTAACTCTAGACAATCAACAAAATAATAAATCATGTCCTAATTTGTGTTGTTGTTCAGTCATTTCAGTCATGTTTGACTCTTCATGACCCCATTTGGGGTTTTCTTGGCAAAGATACTGGAGTGGTTTGCCATTTCCTTCTCCAGCTCATTTTACATATGAGGGGACTGAGGCAAACAGAGTTAAGTGACTTGCCCAGCTACTAAGTGTCTGAGGCTGGATTTGAACTCAGGTCTTCCTGAGTCTGGTGCTCCATCCACTGTGCCACCTAGCTTTCCTGATTTGTAGCATTTGCCTTTTTTCTAAGGTGTAAATACAGTGAAAATCTAACAATCTGCTTTTACCTATATGGATTGAACTGGCTTCAGTATAATTGGATCCCTTAAGGAAATTATATTCAGCTTACAATATGAGTATCATGTATAGGACAGCTACTTATTTCTTTCACCACAGATACTGAAAAACAAAATGGAATGGAATGGGAAAATATTTCATGGCCCCTTAACTATTTGCCAAGAGCTGTGCTAAATGAGACATTAAAAAAAAAATCAGTCTTTGCTCCCACAGGGTTCACAGTCAATTAGAGAAGACAACCCACACAGGAAAGTGCTGTAGCAGGGAAGATGAAAAAACCTAGATGGTCCTTAGAATGTGATGACTGGAGGAGAGGAAGGATGTGAGAGAAGAGAATCCCCTACCTTATCCCACCGGTAGAAATGCTGAGAAATCCTTTCCTCCTGCTTGCTGGAAGTTCAAGGGAGATTAAATGCTGGAAAACAGCCCCCAAAGAGGAGAGTAGAATCATCTCAATAGCTCATCTGGTCCACAGAGAAGTGGAGTAATTCCCATTGACAATGGGCCATATTTCTGGCAGATGGTTGCTCTGCTATGGTGACTGAGGACCAATCTGGAGCTCCTTGTGTAATCCTAGAAAAGTGCATGTAGCTCTCAGCAAGGAAACAGTGCTTGTGCCCAGCTCCATAAGAGGTGCCCCAGTCCAGTAAATCAATGTCTTCCCTGATTACTCCTCCTACATGTTTATTAAGTGCTTGTAATAGGTAAGGCTCTGGGAATAAAAATATGAAAAAAACCAGTACCTGCCATCAAGGAACTTACATTCTACTGGGGTTGGGGATGGGGGAGATATAGCATGTTCACTAATATGAAGTCATTTCAGGAGGAAAAGAATACTAACAGAAATTTGTCAGGCCCACAGACAGAACACAATGACAAATGGAAGCATCACAGAAAGCCACACCATTGGCACAGCTGGTAATCTTACCCTTTTTCTATTTAGGGTTTTCTCTGAGTATAAGTGCTTTGCAATCCCTGGAGGAAGAGCTTCCAGTGAGCTCTCTGCATTGCAGAATAATATTTGCATGTGACCAACTGTTTGGGAAGAGAGGGGACTATATCCCCATGATTAAAATATGCAGCAAATTCTTATCTGTCTTCAGTGGCTAGAATTCAAGGCTCTTAATAATTTGGCTTCAGTTTATCAATTTAACCTTTTCTGACTCTATCTCATCCTTCATAGATTCTGAACTCCATTTAGGCTGGGCTTTTTACATATGTAGAGATGCCCTCTCCGGGTGCTGTCTTTTGTTTTCCACCAGTAGAATGTAAGCTCCTCAGAGGCAAGGATTGTTTCTTTTTGTCTTTGTCTTTTGTCTTTGTAATCGATTGTGAGACATGGGAGACAGTAGCACAGGACCTCCCAGCATGGAGTGCCCACATCAAAGAAGGCTTAGCAAAATAGAATTGCTGCAGCTCAAAAGAAACATGAGATGCACCTCCATTCCAAATGTTCATAAGGACTACAATCTTTCAAGCTTGTATTGATCTAATTAGCCACAGTCAGACACACTGTACCTTGACCCCAACATAGTGATGTCATTATGGTCCTCTTCAAGAATGAAGGACAAGGCCCACCTAGTACAAGAGTTTTGCTCATAGTAAACGGATAGCCACTTCTCATCCACCTCTCTGCCCTGCAGCAATGGCAGTTTGTAGCGTTTATGGGAACATGTGTTTGCCTAGATGCCTCCTAAGGCCTTAGATGCCTCCTGGCTGTCTTCTTCCTTCCCTGACCTCATATTACATGCTTAATAAATGTTTATTGAGTTGAATCAAATTGAATTAAATCAAATCTCATACCTTTGTTTCTACTGTTTCCCCCAGCCTAGCATAAGCCAAATAAAGGTCCCATTCTCTCCCTCTAGCCAACTCTTATCCATTCTTTGATGCTCTACTCAAATAAACTCTTCTCCTGGATGCCTACCTGCTTACTTTTGCTCACATTGCACACTCCTTTCTCTGAATCCTAACAGAGGTTTATCACACATTGTCTTGCATTATTACCTAACTCCTTTATATAAGCATGCAGCCTCTTTGATTAGATTATAAGCTCCTTGAGGTCAAGAGCTTATATGTTGCATTCCTCAAGGTGCCTAAGTCTATCCTTCACATAGAGTAGGTACTCAAGAAATAGTGTTGAATTTACTTGAATGATTCATTGACCACTAAATTGGGAAATAGCAGAAATTAGTTTGGGCTAAAGTTGGCCTTTAAGGAAGAGTTTTCTTTCTTTCTTAAAACATTTCCGCAGTAATCTTTATGTGAAAGAAAGAGAACAAAAGGGGAAAAAATGAAAAAAAAAATCAAAAGTGAAAATAGTATGCTTTGATCTGCATTCAGACTCCACCAGTTCTTTCTCTGAATGTGGATAGCATTTTCTATCATGGGTCTTTCGGAATCGTCTTGGATCATTGTATCACTGCGAAGAGCTGTTAATCATAATTGATACTCACACAGTGTTACTGTTACTGTGTACAATGTTCTCCTGGTTCTGCTCACTTCACTCAGCATCAGTTCATTTAAGTCCAGGTTTTTCTGAAATTTGCCTACTCATCATTTCTTGTAGCACAATAGCATTCCATCACAATCGCATACCACAACTTGTTTAGCTATTCCCCAATTGATGGGCATCCCTTCAATATCCAATTCTTTGCCATCACAAAAAAACAGCTGCTATAAATATTTTTGTACATGTGAGTCCTTTTCCCTTTTTTATGATCTCTTTGGGATAAAGACCTAGGAGAGGTATTGCTGGATCAGAGAGTATGCGCAGTTTTATAGGTCTTTGGGCATAGTTCCAAATTGCTGTCCAGAATGATTCAAATTAGTTCACAACTCCATCAACAATGCATTAGTGTTAAGGAAGAGTTTTCTAAGCAAATTCATAATAAAAGTAAGATGAGGAATCTATTTAATTTACTTAAAAGAATAAAGCACTTGTTTTTATCTATTTGTATATAATGCCCTAATTCTAAATTATCATTATCTATTCATCAATGCCTGGAACCCAAAGAGCAAGAGAGGAGAAGCTGCTATGACCCAACTGAAAAGGGTGAGTATACCAGTCTTGAATCCTCTTAGAGAGTTTTGTAGCCTTCTTCACTCTGGAACATACTGTCATGAGCAGAGGCTTTTACTCTATTCTTCCTCAGGCCACTGAATCATACAAGAAAGAAAAAATGCCTCAGTTCTCTGCTACTACCAAGTGCCCAGAAAGGTGCCAGGTAATTGTCAATAGCTTGCTTATAGATGAAGGCAATGTCTACTCTATTCTGTTATTGAACCTGCTGAGAAAATATGGCCTGAAAATTCCCTTCTCCCCTTCTCTCCTTTTTGTTTTTTTGGAAAGGTGGGGGAATATGGGTGTAGAATGTCACATAAATGGTCAGATGTAGTTGCTATATTGGCTGACTAATTTTCTTTGTTACAAGAGAAGGTTGGGGGAAGTGGTATATCCAGAGATGATTGGGTTGTAAAGACAAAAGTCATCAATAATATGTGTGTGTGTGTGTGTGTGTGTGCATGTGTGTGTGTGTATATATATGTGTGTATGTGTGTATATATATATATATGTGTGTAAAATGTACATTTATTTTTGCGTGTATATGTGAGGCATACATATCATCCATTAATAAAATCTACCTATCTCCTTTTCAGAGGCATCATGACATAATGGAAGGAACACTGGCCATGGAGTCAGAGGACTTGAGTTCCAGTCCCAGCCATTCACTGGCTTTGTCACTATGGCCAAGTCATGTAAGCTAACAGAACCTCAGTTTCCTCATCTATAAAATGGGTAATCACAAATACCCTACCAACCTCACAAGGGTGTTGTGAGCATTAGAGGAGATAATTAATGCATGTGAATGTTCTTTGTGTATTTGTGTAAAATGTTATTGATTGTTAAGCTGTTATAATATAAGCTGTTATATAACCACTATCTATAAATTGTGGTTAAAATAAGAGAATAATAATATTTATGAGCTGAAAGAGACCTTAGAGATGATACAATGGGAAATATTTGGATCCAATAGAGAAGCATTTAATCATTTTTGTAGGATATATGCACATACAAGATATCATCAAACATTTAAAAATAGAAATAAATTATGTTTCAAAAATATATGCACATGTCATTATAATACATATTTATGTGTCATGAAATTATTTTTATATATGCTAACATAATACCCCATGTGTTAGTAATAATAATGATTATGATGGATTATATAATGAAACCACTTTTTTGCTAAACTTAATATATAATATATCCAATGATCACTTCTTGGATATGGTCTAATGGAGATTCCTTCTGTATATGTATTGGTCTAGATGGTCACTGATATTCTTTCCAACTCTCACAATATTAATTAACAAATAAAATACTCTGACATAAAAAGAAAAGAAAGAAAAGAAAGGAATGGTTTATCCATCCACTTCTACAACATACCCAGTTAGGGCAGGTCCTCCCCTGACGCTAAGACCTCAAACCCAACATCTGCTCTTCTCCAAGACCCATGGCATCCAAGGCAAAATCAGTTGTTTGTTGAGATCTTGAGGATGATTTAACAGCCCATTACTCATCTTGGACTGTCCAATAGTTTCCCTGTTCTCTGAGACTATTCATACTTACCTACAACCTGGCCATTTTCTGCCCTGAGGCTACTGCTCTACCTTCCCTATGGAAACTCTAGAGACCATGTCTGGTGGGGTGGAAGAGTGAAGAACTAAGCTTCTTACACTCTTTGTCTCCTTTCCGTATCTTATTCTGAGAATTATAATCAATCAGCACAATGGTTCTGGATACGGTGGGTCAGTGGGTTGACCTATGGTTCCACTAACTTCTTCTCTCACTTCCCAGACACTTAAAAGCTAAATTCAATGAATTTTTCCAATCCTCATCCTTCTTGACCTTTCTATGGATTTTGACAATGTCAACCACAACCTTTTCCTGCATATACTCACTTCCCTTTGTTTCCTTTACACTCTCCCATTTATCCCCCCACCTCTCTGCTTTTCTGTAGTTTACTGTATCGGCTCATCATTCACCTTCTTTCCCTAAATGTAAGAAAAGTTATAACTAGCACTGGATTTGGGCTTTGATACAAGGTGACAACATCTGGAGAGTTTGGCTTCTATTGCTTTGACACATAGTCTTCCACTGGCTTGTGCTAACACGTGCCACAACTGTCCCTCAGGTGCCATCCAAAATCCTATCACCATGGTGACCGTGGCCTGGGACCAACCTTTCTCTTCAACCCCCAAGGAAGCTCAGGATAAATTCTCTAGGGGACAGTCATCCCTCTTTCCCTGCTGTACAGCACCTGGAGTCAGACTATTCTTTGCAGTGCCATATTTTCTCCCATCTCAACTTATGGCATAGTATCCAACCCCTATTAGGCACTTAACTAATGTTTATCAATTGACCAAATAAATGAATTTGTCCCAGGTGTGAGAATTCCTAGTTAGGGCTCTGTGTTCACGTTCCTCAAAGTTCTGTCCTTAGACTCATTTTCTTCCCTGTGTATATTCCCTCTCTATATGCCCTCGTGGGTTCAATGATCTTCTCTGTACAGATGACCCCCCAGTCTGGCTTTGTATGTAGCTCTTAGAGTCCACGTTACCAGTTTCCTGATAGCTGTTTCTTCTTGGATTTCCCATTGAAATTCAATATGCCCAAAACAGAACTGATTATCTTGCCATTAATCCCCTCCCTCCTCAAAATGTTCCTTGTTCTATTCTATTGACACCTTTCCACTTATCCAAATTTGCTCCCTTGGAGTCACAAGACTCTTCCTTCTGCCTCCACAACATCTCTCCCATCTCTCATATCTCCTTAAACTTCCCATATTCTAGTTCAGAGCCTTATTACATTTTGCCTGGACTATTTCAATAATATTCTAATTGGTTTCTCTGCTTCCAGGTTCTCCCTTTTCTACTCTGTAGAGAAGGAGTTACCAAGTAATGGAGCTACCAAAATAATCGTCTCTAGGAACAGATCTCACCATATCACTCCCCTGATCTTGAATTTTCAGTGGCTTCATGTTGCTTCCAAGATAAAAGATGAACTCTCGAGCTTGACATTCAAAGACCTCCACCATCTGACTTCAATCTCCCTTCCCAGCCTTATTTCACATAACCTCCTTTTATGCAATCCGTATCCCAGACCAAAGTGACCTGTTATCTCTTCCCCATGCTTGACCCTCCATCTCCCACTTCTGCTTGCACAGGATGTCTTCTGTGCCTGTGGTGCTGCCCTCTCCAGGGAATATATTCCTGGTCCCCCTCTTGTTACTGCTTTTTCTCTCCTCCAATTACCTTGTATTCACTTATTTGTGTATCTGTGGTTTCCCCCCACTCTCCAGGAGAATGTAAACTCCTTGAAGGTAAAGATTGTTTTGTTTTTATACCCCCACAGTTGAGCATACTGCCTGCACCTAGGTGGCATTTAATAAATGCTAAATTTGATTAAATTGAATTGAGATGGATTCATTGAAATCTACAAGAGAACAATGAAATATTGTATTAAAAATTCAGAGATCAGGTAAGCAGTCTTGGGCTATAGGATAAAAGAATCAAGAAGAGAAATTCTATTCTTCCTGCAGTGGAGATGGCTAGCAAGTGGCAGTAGCATTTATGAAATTTTTGTTATATAATGGCAGAGATAGAAGGGCCATAGAAGTGACCTAATCTAACCTCCTTCTCAGAGTAGGAATTCCTCCTACAACTATCCCAAGCTGTCATCTAGCCCCTGTTTGAATATCTCAAATGCGAGGGAAATCACTACCTTACAAGACAGCTCATTCCATGGTCTAAGAAAAAGAAGATTGAAGGTGGGAGTCAATCAGTCAGTTAGCCTTTTTTAAGTACCTAGTATGTGTTAGGAACTATGCTAAGTTCTGAAGATACATAGAAAGGCAAAAAACAGTCCTTGCTCTCAGGAGTTCACAGCCTAAAGTAGGAGATAACATGTAAACAACTCTGTAGGAACAAGATTTAGACAGGATACACTGGGGGGTGATTTCAAAGAGAAAGCATTAAGATTAAGGAAGACTTGGAAAGGCTTATTGCAGAAGGTGGTACTTTACCTGAGACTTGAAAAAAATCCAGGAAGAGAGATGAGGGGAGAGTGTTCCAGGCATGGGGAGAAACCAGTGAAAACACCTGGGGTTGGGAGATGGATAGTCTTATGTGAAGAAGACCTAGGAGATCAATGTCACTTGATTACAGTGTGTAGGATGAGAGTAGGGTGTATGAAAACTGGAAAGATAGGAAGGACCAGATTATTAAGGGCTTTGAATTCTAAATAGATGACTTTATGTTTCATCCTGGGGGTGTTAGGGAGCTACTGGAGGTTACTGAATAGGAGGAGGGGTGATATGGTCAAACCTGCCTTTTAGGAAAATCAATTTGACAGCTGAATGGAGGTTGCACTGGAGTGGGAAGAAACTTGAGGCAGGGAGACCGATCATCTTCCCAGTGCAATAGTCCAGGCTTGAGGTGATCAGACCTGGACCAAGCACTGAAAGATACAAAATCAAGAAGGAAACAGAATTTTCAGTGTGATCAGGCAGAAGTTTCTATGCAGGCATAGGTTCTGGAGTCAGGTTTCCAAAAAGGTATAGTAGAAGGTCCCAAACGCAAAGCACTTTATCAAACAGGGAAGCCAAGGGTCACCAGAGATGGATGAGAAATGCCAAGGGAGTTTCTAACCATTGCCTGGCGGACTGACTATCCAAACCCTCTCACAGGGCCATTGTGTGTTATGAGGCTCAAATGAGAGAAGAGAAGAGAGAATGCTTTGCACTTACTAGGAAGATGTATATGAAGGAATTGACAGTGATGGCATGTCTCCTGCATCTAACTTTTTGGGGGACTTTTGAGGAATGTGGACAGAATCATAGAGTAGTAGGTGACTCCAACTTCCATAGTCTGCATCCAAACCAAATACCATAATATCATATATTCCTTTTCCTTCTCTTTTCCAAAGAGATCTCAAGGAAACATGCTACAATGACTGAATCCTTGATAAAATGAGGCCTAAGATAATATGTTGAGGGGAAGGTTTATTTTTTTATAGTCTGTTTGCATTACCCCTCAAGGCAAAGAGAGACATAGAACAAGTACTCCCAAAGGACTTGGCCCACCATGACACAAATCCAACAGTAGGAAATGCAGGGGTTTTGTTTTCCTGTCTTTTCTTTTTCTGAGGCATCCCAAATAAAGGAGAGACAGAGACAGAGAGATATAGGAAGACATAAACATAGATAAAAAAGGCAAATTCTGCAGAAGAGGGCTCATCCATATGCATGGACTTTGCCATTAAGAGTAGGCTAAATTTATCCTTGAAGATAAATTTAGTTAAACCCCTGACAAATCTCCATGATTTTGGCTAGTGAAGAGCCAGGCAACAGGTATCATTGAATCTAGAGAACCCAAGGCCACCATTTTCAGTCAATAATCCAAACCTTCCTCTAGTGGCAGCGTTTACAAAATAAAACAACAACAAAACTAAAAACAAATCACTAGGCCATGATTACCAGGTTACCATAGTTACTAAGCTAGCTATCTCCATTTGCTGACATCTTCCTGATACCTCAAGGCCTAGCCCAAATACCATGTCCTCTTTTTTTTAACCTTAAATAGTATTTTGTTTTTCCCCAATTACATATCAAAATAATTTTTAGCATTCATTTTTACAAGATTTTAAGTTCCAAATTTTTTTTCCTTTCCTCTCTCTCTCCTTCCATCTTCTGAAAATGGTAAGCAATTTGCTATAGTTTATATATGTGCTATCATATAAAACATATTTCCATATTTGTCACAGTTGTAAAACATGAAAGATCAAAAGAAAAAAACATGAGAAAAAATAAAGTGAAAAAAATATGCTTCTATCTGCATTCACGGTCCATCACTTCTATATCTGAATGTGGATATCTATTTCCTTCATGAGTCCTTCGTACTTGTCTTGGATCATTGTGTTACTGAGAAGAGCTGAGTCATTCATAGTTGACCACCACACAATGCTTTTCCTGGTTTTCCTGGTTCTGCTCATATCACTTTGCATTAGTTTATACAAGTCTTTTCAGGTTTTTCAGAAATCTGCTTTTTCTTTCTTTCTAAAATATTAGTAATATGTTTTATTTTTATATTACAAAACATATATACATTATCCCCACTATGTGAAAGATCTTTTGTAAACAAAAACCAAACCAAAAAGCAAATGTCATGTCTTCCAGGAATCCCTGATATCCCACAGCTGGAAGTGAATTCTCCCTTATTGATTTTCATCAAATCATACTCCTGTTATATATTTATCACAATCTATATTATAATCAGAAAAAACAATCCAATTCAACTTGGGCTTTTCACAGGTAAAGTCTTTTCTTGGGGCAGTTAGGTGGCACAGAGCCTCAGCCTTGGAGTCAGGAGGACCTGAGTTCAAATCCAGCCTCAGAGACTTACTATCTATATGACCCAGAGCAAGCTCAAGGGGCTTAGCACCTATAAGTAGGGGTGAAGAGATACAACACACACATACACAAACACATACACACACAAATAAGTGTGGTAAGAGAAAAATTAAGGAAAAAAAACTAACAACTGGGAGGAGGGAGTCGCAATCAGGAAAGGCTTTACAAAGCAGATGGCACCTGATGCTGAGAGATGAGGAGATGGTACACTCCAGGCCTGGAAGAAAGCTTAGGCAAATGCACAGAGACTGGAGAGAGAATGTTGGAGAACAGCTAATGGTAACAGTCTGTCTGGAATGTCAAGTACATGGAGCAGAGTGGTATAAAAATAAGTCCTTTTTTAAAAAATAATAAATAATATTTTAATTTTTCCCAATTACATGTAAAAACAATTTCTAACATGGGGATTTTTTCCTAAGTTTTGAGTTCCAAATTCTACCTCTCTCTCTCTTCCCTGCCCCCCTCCCTGAGATGGTAAGCAATCTGATATAGGTTATACTTTAAAATAAGTCTTCATGCTTAGGGACTGTCTCACTGGTTTGGAGACTGAATAAGCATGTAACAATATTTGGTGATTGATTGATTGATTTTTCTTTTTTTTTTTCTAACCCTCCCCCATTTATTCCCCCTTTATGTATCATCTTCCCCTATTAGAATGTAGGGTTCTTGAATGTAGGGACTGTCTTTTTTTAACTCGTATTCCAAGTGTTTAGCAGAGTGCCTGACACATAGAGTTTACTAAATACTCTACCTCTCCTCCATGAGCCCAGATGTAGAGTGGACATTCAGTGAATGTTCATAACAACTACAACTCATATTTGGTGAGTTTTCTTTTATGTCTTACCTGATAGAGATACTTGGAGGATCACTGAACAGTATAAAGCACCCCATATGTTAAAATTCTCACTGTGTTTGCATCCATTTAGGAATCAATTTTTACAATGACCGGAAGAAATACACTATTGGAGGAGAACATGTTGGGTTTCATTCAGCTTCAGTAAGTTAAATCTTGGAGGTGGGGTAATTAATAAATAATAAATGCAGTGAAAATGTATGTTTTCTATACTTCTAAATCAGTTTTCTGCATCTCACAGTAAAATGTGAGACATATAATCTGTTGTAGAAAATTATTTGCAAAAGCCTGACTGTGCTCATCCCATATTTTCATTAAGTATACCTTTCATATATGTATAGAACATTCTCATTAAAAAAAAAATCAAGACCAAAAAATAGGCACATTTAGGTCAGCATATGCTGGTGTCCTTTTGTTTTGTTTGATAAAAAAAAAAATCATCCATAACCTATTTTTCTGGAATCATAACCTCTTTAAGAAGTATTTAAAAACTATCCCTCAGAGGCATTAAATTGTGTTTTGTCCTCAGCATGGATTCTTTGGCATTGATTTGGTCAGGTTCAGATGCTCCTGATTTCATTTTTTAGAGATATTTCTACTTCTATATAGACAGCTACAGAAATGCTGGCAAATCTGTTCCATTTCATCAAAATAACACAGTGGGTAGAGCGCTAAACTTGAATTCAGGAAGAACAGAGTTCAAATCCTGCCTCAGACACTTACTACCTTGTGAACTCAAGCAGTTCACTTTAACTTCTATAAGCCTCAGTTTCCTCATCTATAAAAACAAGAGGATTGAACCTGATGGCTTCTAAAGTCTCTTCAAGCTCTAAATCTATCATCCTAAGAAGTAAAAGCTTCCATTAATACATCATACAATATTATAATCAGAAGAAACAATCCAATTCAACTTAGGCCTTTCACAGGCAAAGTCTTTTCTTGGGGCAGTTAGGTGACATAGAGCCTCAGCCTTGGAGTCAGCAGGACCTGGGTTCAAATCCAGCCTCAGACACTATCTATGTGACCCTAGGCAAGTCACTTAATCTTGATTGTCTCCAAAGTGAGGGAAAAAAGGTCTTCA